TGCTGTTACAAATGGGTTGCAGCCAGTGAGTTTACTTACACCTCTTTAAATCCCACCAGTATTAATTAGTGAGAAGACTAAGTATACCAAATTCAGTGCTACACTTCATTATTTCAGTGTAAGACAAAACACAACCAACATTCAAGATCTGGAAGTAGTTCATTCACACTTCCTGGTTCTGTGTGAAAAGACAGATGGGATGCAATTTTTGTTGGAGCATTTTGGTGACTCAGCTGAACTTCATAAGAAATGCCTCGTGCTCTATGATCAGCACTGTGCAACCTTCCCGTTCTGCTACAATTACTACTGATACAGAAAAATGAGAAACCCCTTTGGGCTGGCAGAAGTATCAGACAGACTCTAGTCTTGTACTGAACTTGAAACAAATGAAATTGCAATCTGAAATCATGTTACTACTGCTAGCTGTCCCACCACTAGCAGAATTTGTGCAGGAGTTAAGTGGGAAAACATACTAGCAGATTGTTCATTACAAATCACAACATACGCACACCACACAGGTGAGAATATTGTCTCAGTCTTATGCTTAATGCTCACTCCTCCATATTCATCTGTTTAGTTTTGCTGGTTCCTGTTGAAAACAAGAAGTAAATGTCTCCCAGCCCGAAGCGTACGGGTTCACAACTCACTGCTCATCTCTGTGTCAGTGGCCCCTCAGTGGATGGCAAGCACTTTTGCTTAGATATCTGGGCTTTTTCCCTAGAGAAATTACCAATCAGAAGTCTCATAAAACGTTAAAGCCTCCAATTACATTCAAATGACTGCTTAAAGACAATTAAGGAATTCAGATATTTTGTCAGACAAAACACAGCTCCTTGCATGCACAGTGAGAGGGAGAAATACTCAAGTCACAATTTTTCCCATGTAAAGGCAAAACAGATTCCAAAACAAGCTGATAAAGAAATATGAGCTCTCTCAAGAGTCTTATGTTTTCTTTGGCCTAAGATTTAATATTTATGCCATCTACAACTACAGCAAAAGATTGCATGAGCTTTCATCTCACTTCTCAGCTCTTTGAAGCATCCCCTTATTTGCTTCTCCCAGTGCAATCTTTCTCAGCTAACATTCTTTTAAAAGACTGCTTTCTTTTTCTTCCTTTAGTACCACTATCTATCATTCAATAATGAAAAGTTAATTTTTGTCCCCAGTCAACAAAATGACATGAGAGTCCATTATCCTCTTGTTGATATTCAAACAAGAACTGCTCATGTTCATGCTCACACCTGAACAGGTATGTAACTGTTCTCTTTTAAATCATCCTCAAAGACATTTTTTGCTTTTTGTTTTGCTTGGGCACAGTTCTAAATACTGTCATGCTGCCTATTACTTCTTTGTTGTTTACTTTCACTTGCCACCTGTTGTTTAGTTTGTAATTCCTGGGGAAAAATTCCACCTTTTTTTCTTCTGTGACTACAGCCTGGAACACAAAAGATATCTGATCCATGATGAGAGCTGCTAATTACTGCAATAACCAAAATAACTGTCTTCACGTTTTAAAACACGTGAGCAGCATAACTATCTATTTCCTGTCTGTTTCTCTGTTTTGACTTTTTTTTTCCTGTCAGAAGTCCTTCCTTGCTTCCATCACTGCAGATGAAGCTAGTTCCTCTATGTTATACGACCACAATATACCCAGCTCCTCTGGGTGTATACATGCCTGCCTGCCATGCCTGCCTATTTGCTCACTCTTATCTCCGCAAAGCTTCACCCCCTCCCCATGACTCCTGCGGCCTTTATCCAGAAGAGAACATGTGTCCATGGAAAAGCAAACCCTAATGGTCAACTCAGACTAGGCTGCCCAGAGCCACATCCAGCCTGGCCTTGAATGCCTCCAGGGATGGGGCATCCACAACCTCCTTGGGCAACCTGTTCCAGTGCATCAACACCCTCTGTGTGAAAAACTTCCTTTTTCCCCTCTCTGCAGAGTCATCACAAAACAGTCCTTCTCCTTTACAGTCCGTCAGTCCCTACACAATGCAGTTTGCACATACAATTTCAAAATTGTCAGGAGAAAAAACACAACACAATAACCAAAAAATGTTCAGGGACAACAGGAACAATACTAGGAGAAAATAAACTTCTTACATTCTGCTTTCAAAAAGGTTACAAAACAATAAGATAGCTCTAACTCCATGACAGCCTAAAGAACACGTGCTTACATAAAAGCATACATACCAAAAACTCACAAATCACTCACAAAAAGTTCTCTCAGTCAAACTGCAGGATCCTATCAATCATTTTTGTAAGAAAAAATTAACATCTTTCTGTAAAGCCATTAATACTATGAAGTCCTAGGGACTGAAAGAAATCACTTACTCGTCTCCATCTGGGCAGATTCCTGTAGTCTCATCATATTTTGTACAATAAACATCGGGACTGTAGTTAAAAGTTCCATCACGCCTTCGTATAGGTCTACGACGACGCTGATTTAGGAAATGCCAATGAAAACAGGTAAATGGTCTGTGCTGGGTACACTTGTGCTGCAAAAATAGAGGGCACTGCTCTGTCCTAAATTCCTTTAGATACCTAAAAAAATTAAACTGTGTTACAAGTTTATCTTATCGGAGGCACATCTTTACAGTACTAACAGGGCACTGGACAATTCAGTGCATTTAGCCCATAAATATTTTACAAATGTACCTGCACACTGTTTTAGCTCCTATGCGTAATTAACCATTTAACAGCTGAATTAATACTTCTGAATGAGTGACTTCATTTCTGATGACAGATGTGTTACAAATAAAATACTGGCACATTATTCTACATCATGTAATTGAGATAAAAATCAAATAAATAAATTAAAAAAACCGCAGCATTCAGAATTTTGCCCTAAGTAACCACTACACAGATCATAAATCCATCAAGTACCTGAATAAGCATTCATATGGCTTGCTGTCACACAACAATAAAGGTTGTTTTAGCTAAAAAGCACTCCTAGCTTAACTGGGCACTTAATCACAATAATCCCCAGAATGTGGGCACTCTATACAGAAAGCTAGAGGACTGAAAGTAGTTTAAGAAGGTTAGCAGGAGCCATGAGAGGGGCTGCAGCAAGCTTATTTTAGGGAGTGTTAGGTTTGCATTGGGACAATCTAAATGTCTCTCTGAAGATTATTTAGGAGTAGAATCATAGAATTGTCTGAGTTGAAAGTGGCCCTTATACGTCATCTAGTCCAACTCTCCTGCAATGAATACGGACGTCCACAGCTGGATCAAGTTGACAGAATCATAGAATCAAAGCAAGTAGGACAGCCCTTCATGGTCACCTCGAGCACAAAAGCTATTTAGGGAGTCTGAGCCTTTCCATTGCATATCACAATCACACCAGACTGGGCATTACTGTATTATTTGTCAAAGGATGCAAGACAGCACTCCTTCCTGTATCAGTTTATATATCCATTGGCCAGCTGAACAAAAGCATTACATCTCTAAGGTTACAGAGTACTTGCATTGGAAGGAGTGCTTGGGGACTCCACAGAACCTCGGATTTCCCAGAGGTCTCAAGAAGGGTACAGCACGTCTACCAGGTACAGGGGTCTGAAGGCATCGGGCAGGGAAAGGGCTGGAGAGAATAAAGGGATCTCTAAGCTCTCAGCCGCTCAGACAGCACGGAGGATGTAACGGCACAGAGCTACAAGGTGCGTCTTTCAGTTCTGCGTTCTTTAAACTGATCTGGACTGAGGGAGAAGAACGGGAACAGAACTTTTAGATGTCCAAAGCCGGGCTGCATAGCAGGATCCAGCCTGCAAGTGCTGGGAACGGGACACGACGGCACTCGGATCCACGTTAGGCGGCTTCTGCGAGCAGCGCAGGTTCTATACGAGCGGGACGCCAACGCCGCCACACCAGCGTCCCGCGCCTCCACCCGGCCGACACGCAGCCGGGCCTCCTCACCGCGGCGGCCGGAGCCGGGAAAGAAGCGGAGCGAGGCCGCCGCTCAGCCCCGCCGGCGGAGCAGGAGGCCGCGCGTATCAGGCCTGGCGCTCGGCCGGGCCCTCCGCCTCTGAGCCCGGAGCCCTCCCCGCGCAGCGCCTGGCTCCGCGAAGCAGGCCGCCTCTAGAACGCGGTACCTACGTATAATGCGTCGGCTGCTCGGTCTGCGGGGTCCCGCCAGACCCTCCGCCCCGCGACACCGCTTTCGAAACGGACGGCATCGTCCCCAGCGGCCGGCAGGGCGCGTGCGCGGCCCGCCCCGCTCCTCCCCTCAGCGGGCGGCCCCGCCTCGTCCCGCCCTGCGAGCGGTGCGCGCGCACCTGCACGGGCTGCGGCGCGAAGCTCACGGCGGCGGCCGCGCGGCTCCTTCAGTCGGCAGCCCGGCGTTTTTCACTTCCCAAACAGCTGAAAAGCTTCGCGGAGAACCTTGAAGTCACCTACCGCATCGCACGCGCAAAACCAGGACGCTTTATTGCCTTTGAGAAAGCAGTGCTTGCTAGCCCTGTGCTCCGTTACTCGGCTTTACCCCCTGCTGCCCTGTTGTGGGGATGTGTTTGATTTTTAATGAAGAGCTTCAATCGCACAGAAGTTTTGTATCTTTACAGAGGAAAGCCTAAAATAAATAAATAAATAAATAAAAATACACCTAACTTGAAAGAGAATTAAGTCACACCAATGTGTTCTTCCTCTCCCAGGCAAGTCTCCAGAGTATCTGCGAATGTAGATTAAAATTAGATACTAAGCTGGCTGTGAAATTAGGAGCTCCCTCCCCTCTCTGACGCAGATCAATCACTTACAGTTTCTGCAAAATTCCCACCTAAGCACTGACCACTTTAGTTAGGCATGTCAAACACGTTATGCTGCAGAAAACCAGCACTAACTGTGCATTAAGGAAATCCTGCATTGTTTGGTAGAATTACAAAGTAATCTGAACATTAATCCATCATACATTAATACAGGTGTCCTCAATATGATGTGAATGCACTCCATGTACTCCGCACTAGCAGAGCGCAAGCTGAAGGTCACCTTCAGCAACCAAATTACAGACATACAGCTTTGATATTTTAATATGCTGTGCAACCAAGAAAAAAAAAAAAAACATCCATGGAAAAAACCGAGTTGAACACAACATATCTACAAATACACGCTAGTTTGCAATACATCCTGTCCATCCCTGCCATGCAATGCAGAAAAAGACTATTCATTCTGCTATTGCTGTAAGTTGCTAAGTGAAGACAAACAAAAAGCAGCAAGATAAATAAATCCTGTTTGCAAGATAAGGCTGGTGGTAGGACAGAAAAACATTTTCCAAATCAAGTGCGGGAGCAGCCTTTAAGCAGCTGAACTTTTGGCAGTTCCTTCACCACCGGTGCGCTCATCATCTCTCCTTCTGTATCTGTGAAGGAGCATCACTTTGTTGTGCCGAGTCTAAAGGGTCCACGATCTGACCAGATAACAGGGCTTCCAGTTGCTCGTCAATCTCCGTTTTTTCCCTAAACGCACACCACAGCAACAGCCCACTGCACAGCAGGATGAGGGGCAGCACCTTCACCCACGGCCTCTGGTAATCACTCCCCATAGACTGGCTGACGCTCCACACCCGCGGGCTGGCCTTGCTGGAAGAGAAGGGGATGGGTCCCTCGCTCTCTGGATCCGCTTTAGCTGCGCCCTCGGTGCCGCGCCGTCCCGCCAGCCACCTACGGGGGCCGGGCAGGAGCAAGACGCACCGCGCCCTGCAAAGACACGCGAGTCAGAGGCGCTGGACTGTCGGCTCCCGGATCCCGGATCCCAGCGCCCAGCCCTCCGCCTCACCGCCAGCCGCCCCGCGCCCAGCTCATTCCTCCGCTCTGCTCCCCGCGCCGCCCGGAAGCGGAAGTGCGACCTCAGCGCTGCAAGCGGCGACCATGCACGAGCCGGCCGCAGGGGGGCACTCGAGCGCTGCTGAGATGCGGCGGCCGGAAACGGGAGGCGCGCAGGGTGCAGCCAGCTTCCGCAAGAGCTTCCACACGTTGAGGGAGTACAGTCCGCTTTATTCCGTTACAGAGAACTGCCGCGTATTCACACAACTACTCTTCTTAACAATCGAGTGTTCTCTGCGCAGCTCTCCAGCTCCTAAGCAGCAGTCACCTTATCCACAGATCACACCAGCCTCTGAGCAGAGCTGGATGCGTGCTGTGCGTTATTTATTCATTCCTTTCACTGAAGTCTGATAAGAAACCTCTCGGTTTAGCATACAGGTGAAGTAACACGTTCTGAATACTGCCCAATACCTTTTGTACAACACCTCAGAGCAGTGCCCGGGGCTGTTTTGTATTTACAGTTCCTCTTAGCACGCTTGATTAAAGAAAATAACAAAGCTGAGAACGGAGATACAATCTGTAAACCTTGGCTCCACAGCAGTCTCAAATTGCTCTCATCAGTGTTTTCAGAAACTCGCCGGCTGGTGTCAGTAGATGGCACTGACATTCCACTGTTCCCTTTGCTTTAGGGCAGAAATTGAGGAAGTCGAGAATACCCACAAGAGTTAAATCATCATAGTGTCACGATACACAGTCAGCTGCTTGACATTCTATATCAAACTGCTGTTTACCACGCAAGTTCTTTCGCACAGCGTCACTCTAAATCCCTGCATCACCATGCAGACGTTCAGCATTCGTTGACCCGTTAAGCACAGTTGTCTCTGCAGTCGCCCTTTTGTGATTTACATGTTCAACACTGGTGTTTTCAGCTGTGACATTCAGTTGAAGACAGAAGTTATTACCACATTTAAACACAAATATTCCTGTCACAGAATTCATTGAATAATTTTGAAATAAGTCAGCTTGAGTAAGCCACGAGTTCTTTTGATAAGAGTTCTAATCTGCAATAATTAAATGAGCTACCACACAGGCTGGCAGAAATACTGCATGAGTTAAACAGGTAAAACATGTGAATAACACATTTTACAAAGATTTTCCTAGAAGAAGTCTACAAGTTAAAAGAAACTTCCTCAAAACAGGAAGAAGTTAGCTATGTCGCTCAAAAGCTTGTTGGTTTCTTGAGGTGCCAATTCTTAGCATGCAAGCTATACGTATATTCAGGGGAATATATGTATATATTCAGACAAACAGCTCGTGTAATAATGAGCATGATGGATTAGAAGGAATGGAGGAAAAAAAAAAGTCTGAAATTAATCCAGATAAACTTTGCTACTTCATAGCCAGTATCCAACAGCCATTCTTTCTCAGAACTGTATGAGACACTTATCTAACAGAAATCAGAGGAGAAGAGGTGACTAAGGAAGAATGAAAGCAATTCAAACAGATACAGAAAACGTTTCAAGTGCTCCTGAAGAAGCCCTTGTGGCTGATTATTCATAAGGCAAGGTTATATAAAATATGCTTATGAGCTATGGGTGCTTTAACACAGATTTTCTTTGTCACGTGAAGTACTGGAGACAAACTTTAATTATGATAACAGCAGTATTTTTTTTTTTCTTAAACAAAGCTCAAATGTCACATAATCAAGAGACTTCCTGGGAGCAAAAGAAGTCTCCTGTGTGCAGGAATCGAGACCTGCATGCATGATTACTTAATCCATGTAGCCAAAAACAATACATATAATGTATATATATCTAATAGTATACTCATTCTAAATAGAAAATAGTGGGAAAAAATGACAAAAAAAAACTCACCAGAACTTCCTTTGTATGCAATATTGTGCTGACTTAATAAATCCTTAAGGACTTTTATTTCTTCGGAAAGTTTCTTGTATTCCTAAGAAAGGAAAACACAGGAAGGTGCTCTCACTGTCCAAAGATATATAACAACATGGAGATTATATTATGAATCATACAGTAAAAAGGTGGCAATTTAATTCCACATTATAAATATTATACTCTCTACCTTATTGCACATATCCACTGTTTCAAACTGCAGACTTGTTTTCGTATTCTGTTTCTCAGCTTCCTTTTCTTCTGTTGCTTTCAGAAGTCCTGCTTCCTCAAAAATCTCTTTCAGTATTTTTTTGTATCCCTACAAAAGATTCTAAGGTTATTGTAAATAAATCTACCTAATACTCATCTCCCTGTACCTTGCCCTAGTTCCCCAAGCTTCACTGTAAAAAAAAAATTAAAAAATTAAAAATGACAATTAACTGTTGATATATAAACAATCACAGAGCACAAGAAGTGCTATTTTATTTGGCAAAATAAATGCATCTGTTCCAAGAGAAAAAACTACAGAAGCCAATCAGACAACAAGTAGAGTTCATAAACATTAACAAACCTGCTCAGTTATTAGTTGATCATACAGAGACTGCTCTGCTTCATCCCATTTCCTTTGTAGTGCTTCAGTCAGAGTTGGATAAACTGAAAAATGAAAGGCAAACTGTGTCTTCTATTAGTTAAAGGTTTTTCTGGTAGCACACATGCAGCTTTCAAGAGTTGGCTTTAAACTTCAATTCCAATTCACTGACTTAATGTTTCTGGAGAATGCCACCAACCAAATTTATCTCATTTCCGACTAGCAGGTCCCACATTTCTTTGTCAGAAGTATTTTTTTTAATGTATATAAATGAACAAATATTGTAGGGCTGATTCCTATGGCTAGTCCAAGAAAACAGCAAATATCAGTCAATGGTTCTCTATTAGCAATGACTATTTAGTTGAGAAAGATGTATCTGCTATAATGACTGGTATTTAAATACACTTAGCATTATGTATTACATGTAATTCTCTTTGAAATCAACTTACAAACTTAAAAGACCTAAAAACATATGCTCTGAAATTGGTGTAATAAGCCTTCTTATTACACCAGTAATCTAGGTTCTTCATGCAGAAATGGCTTCCTAAATCTTACCCAAAAGAGAGTGGGGATGGCACACAAGAGGAGTCTCGAATGTGAGGGAGTAAACACAAGTACTTGGCTCAGATACATAAGCCAATTTATTGCTCTTTCCACAAACAAGATGGACCTAAACATCAGAAAAAACAAAGGTGAATGAAACACCTCCACATAAGCAGGTGACAATCAATTTCCTGTCTTCTAAGGCTAACAGAGGAATTTCTATGCAGACTTGTCTCAAAGCTTCCACTGCCTTCACCAATTGAAAGGAAATCATAGCTAACACATCTTAGAAATTGAGTTACTTTCTCAAACACATGAAAATGCCTTCCTGTAATGGGAAACGATCCCCATCTACCATTTTCCTCTGGTCTCCCAAGCAGTACAGATCTGGAAGGAATGAGAGTAAACTGGAGGGTAAATAGGACACCCTGTAGAACCTCCTCCAACAAAAGCAGAATTCATTTAGAAAATCTTAGTTCTGACTATGGTGCTAGATGTCAGGCTCCTCTTTTTACTGTTACAGAGAACAAAAGTCACTATAAAAGTGTTCTTTTAGATCTTTAGACTTTTGGCATCAGTCTGTTCAAAACTAAATGCCAGTGAAAGATCTGAATAACAATATTTGAAGTCACACAAGAACAGTAACTCCTTCTGTAGTCCTAATGGGAAATAAACATGTTTACAAGGCACCTCAATCACAGCAAAGAACATTTTAACCTTGGCTAAGACATTCTGCCTCTTATCTCTACCCACTCTCTCCAATCACAGATACCTCTCTCAAATATTGTGTTGTCAATCATCACTGTAATATCTAAGCACCTTCCACAAGAAATCGAGCCTGTTTCAAACTCTACAGTTTGATAGTAGAGTCAAGACAGTCATCCTTCATGACAGTCATCTACGTCACCAGGAAACATGAGGCTTAAATGAAATGTGAGGATTAATTAACTGTATCCTTGTAATTGCACAGCACACTGAAATGGAAAGCGGAAAAGAAAAACTTCGATGAATGAAACGACCAAGGACTTGCACAAATCGCGTGCTGCACACCGAACAAGTCTCAAAGATCCTTCTAGCTGAACAGTTTTTTGGCACAAAGTCTGTTTGAAAGTGAAAAGGAACATTTTAAATGCTTGACAAAACAGGAATGTTTACTTTTTTCTTCAAATTGCACTCAGACCACAGTCTGTTTCTCGTTAGTTGGTTTCTCTGGCAGAAGCCATTCTATTGCCATTTATTTTATTACTTCCTTAATTCTTCCTGCATGCTTTCTGAACCTGGTTTGTGTAGCTTCTTGGCATACTGTTGTTAACTGCCTAATTCTGTTCCTTCCTTTTTGCTGGATGTTCTTAAGCACAACAGACAGCAGTTTGAATCAAACAAGATTTTTTTTATTTATTTTTCCTGACACAAACTATAAAGCACTGCATGTCTCCAGCAGTGGTGATGATACCAGAGCTTTACACTCAATCATGGAAAAAAAAAAAGAGAGTTAAAAGTCTCCAACAAGAGTACCTAAGAAAACTCAGTATCTAATATCAGAATAAAATTCTGACTAATTCCATCCACTCACCAACCTGCTACAGAAATCCATCTTTGTTTTATATTATACCTTAAATCATGAACTCTTCAAGGTTGGAATGTTTCAGCTTGTAGTGACAAAACTGTCTGCAGTCAACATGCCTAGATTAGCATAATGTAGGAATTTTGTTATTATACCTTTGTCTGTCTGCTCTTGGTTTCACACGAGTCTCCTTCCCGCATCCACATTCCAACAAACGTGTTGTTGTCAATTTCCCATTCGTGCCAGATTCTAGAAAAACAAAACCTCACTTTATGTTTCTGATAAGGAAAACATGGAAATTCAGGAAGAAATGTAGGAATAGCCTTACACTGTGTTAAAATTAATTGCATATGCCTCATTTGCCTTGCTTCATTATTTCCATTTCTTATAGCCAAGACCTTACAAACCCTGGAATTTGTTACCCAAGCTGCTACGCAGGCCATACCAACACTATTTTGAGAGC